ATTTGTACTACCTGCACATCATTGATGAATTCTCTCGGTTTAGTCAGGCTGGGATTGTCAGGTCCAAGAAGACTAGTGAGATTATTGATGTTCTCAGTCAGAAATGGATATCCGTCTTTGGGTGCCCTTCATTGATATTCTCTGATAATGGTGGAGAGTTTTGTTCCAAAGAGTTTGAAGATTGGACACAGAATTTCAACATTGAGCATAAGACTTCTGCTGCCTATAGTCCTTTCTCAAATGGAATAGTTGAGCGGCATAATGCTGTAATTTCCTTGATGATGCTGAAACTGGCTGAAGAATTTCCAAATACTAATGTTGATACCATACTCAGCTGGGCGTGTAGTGCAAAGAACTCACTCAGTACTGTTGCGGGTTTCTCACCCAATCAGCTCATGTTTGGGACACAAACATACCTGCCCAATGTCCTCAACTCAAGTCCACCTGCTCTTGAGAATGAAACATCAAGTAAAGTAGTCGCTAGTCATATTAATGCAATGAACGCTTCTAGAAGGATGTTTCTAAGCTGTGAAAGCTCCAATAGGATAATGAAGGCTTTGAAGAAGCCACTGAGAACTTACACAACACCCATAACCTTTGGAAGTAAAGTTTACTACAAAGCTGTGGGATCAGACAAGTGGAAGGGCCCTGCAACGGTAATAGGACAAGATAGTACAGTGGTATTTCTTCGTCAAGGAAGCTTTGTAACAAGAGTACATCAGAGCAGGATCTCTCTTGTGAAGGACCAGGTTCCCTATGAATCTAAATCTGATAGTACAAATGGTCCAATTCAGGATGTTGAGTCTATCAAAGAGGCAAGTGTACTTAGAATACCAGGTCTTGACTGTTCTAGTGATGATGTTCCAGTCCAAGAAGTTGAAGTAGAGCCTTCTACAAACCCTGTAGCTGAAGTTAATTATCCAGCTGAAATCGAAGCTGAGTCACCTCCAAGTTTGCCTGAAATTGCTGAGTTAGATAACAACACAGTCAGTACTAAGCAGGATCAAAGAATTGACAAGCCAACTGCCATTAAGAGAGGCTCAACAATAATCTTTGTTGATGATGGGACACAGTATGAGGCTGTTGTATTGTCAAGAGGAGGGAGGGCTAATGGTAAACATAAGAACTGGTACAATGTTCATGTTAAAGAGACAGATGAAGTCATATCTATAGATGTATCTACCATTGATGACTTCACTGTACTGAACAAAGATGAAGGTGATGATTTTGATTTCGACCCAATTGAAGATGTCTATGCTGTTCAATTGGATGACTATGCAACTGAAAAGCAGTTAGAACTGAGTTCGTGGGTAACTAACAAGGTGTATGAAGAAGTTCAGATAGAAGAGCTAGATGCTAGAAAAATTATCACAAGTACTTGGGTATGTAAACAGAATGGCGATACCAAAAAGGCTAGACTAGTTGCTCGGGGATTTCTTGAGGATACATCGTCCATCCTAAGTGATTCCCCTACTTGTTGCAAAGAGAGTCTTCGTTTGCTTCTTGCCATCATTGCCGGAAAGAATTGGATTGTACAAGCATTAGACATTAAGTCTGCTTTCTTGCAAGGGAACGACATGATGAGACCTGTGTACATGAAACCTCCTAAAGAAGCAAAAGTTGCCTCAGAGGTAATATGGAAGTTAAAAAAGTGTGTCTATGGGCTAGTGGACGCCAGTCTTAAGTGGTATCAGCGAGTTGCTGATTGTTTAATTGATCTTGATGGTGTGAAATCGAAAGACCCTGCTGTGTTTTACTGGAGAAAGGATGGAGACCTTGAAGGGGTTCTTGCCTTGCATGTCGACGATTTCATGTTTGCTGGATCAGCGAAGTTTCTTGAAGAAGTAATGACAAAAGTAAAATCTGAATTCCTCATAAAGATTGAAGAAAAATCTGCTTTCACTTACCTTGGGCTAGAAATTCGTCAAAAGGCTGACTATATTGAGATGGATCAGAAGAAGTATATTGAAAAGCTTTGTCCCATTGATATACCAGGTGGCGCCCTTAAAACCAGGGACCTCTCCAGTGATGAGAAGAATACTCTTAAGTCTAAGCTGGGCCAGATCCTTTGGGTATCCAACCACTCTAGGCCTGATGTGTCTTTTCAGGTTTGTGTCACCAGCACAGGTATCAAAGATGCCACTGTGAAGGACTTTCATGACTGTAATCAGGTCATAGAAAGGCTAAAGAGAAAGCATGTCTGTATCAAACATCACTCACTTGGGAATCTGAAAAATCTGAAGTTTATCCTCTTTAGTGATGCCTCACACAAAAACCTCTACAATGGAGCTTCACAGGGTGGATATGTAGTGTTCATTAAGTCGGATGATAGCCAGTTTGCCACTCCTTTGATATGGTGCTCAAAGAAGTTAAAGCGAATTGTAAGAAGCACCTTGTTTGCAGAAACCTATGCACTCCTTGAAGCAATTGACTCCTGCATCTTCCTTCGCAGAATGACATCACAGCTACTCAACATTGAGGATATTAAAATTGAATGTTATGTTGATAGTCAAACTTTGTGTGATTCCATTGTTAGTAATAAACTGAATGAGGATAAGAGACTTAGGCATGAAATAGAATGTTTAAAAGAAACTGTTAAATTAGATAATATTGATGTTCATTGGATATCTAATAAACTGCAAGTTGCAAACGTATTCACCAAAGCTGGGGCACCGACAAATTTAATACTTGAAGTTTTGGATACTGGAGTTTTAAGATTTCGATAATTAATTTATCGTGTATTTGATAGATTTTACCCCCGGTGTTTTTAATGGGTCTATTGTTAGATCTCATTCGTTGTTTTATATGAACCCCCAGAGTTTCATCTCACCTTTACTTTATAAATGAAGTTTTATATTGACTATTTAAATTATTACTATCACCTCGATTTTTATCCTAAGCTTTTGTTCATTGTTTGAAAGGGGTAAGATTGTTAAGTTGCTTTATATCATTAACTATGTATTTCCCAGGGCTTTGCTGTATATAAGCGTATGACTTGATACTGTATGACTTGATACGATTCATTACTACCTTTCATATAACAACGGTGTAGTTACTGGTACCAACACACAAGGTTAACATTTGGTGGGGACTTACCGAACCTTGTGACATTATGTTACGTCACCACTCTTCCACTCTGACTACATGTTGCCGGCTTCGGCCGTAAGTATGCTTACTAATGCTTACCAGGCGTAGTCAGATTCTAATCATGTCTCGATTAGATGGAACCTTTATATAATTGTGTAAGATGTTTTGACTAACACTGTGAGATAATACCAACTGTCGGCTCTTTCTTGAACCGACTTTTGGGTCTTACACTTACCCTAACTCTAACCCTAACCCTAACCCTAACCCTAACCCTAACCCTAACCCTAACCCTAACCCTAACCCTAACCCGATCAATTGACCCTAACCCGGTCCTAACCCTAACCCTAACCCTAACCCTAACCCTAACCCTAACCCTAACCCTAACCCTAACCCTAACCCTAACCCTAACCCTAAGCCTAACCCTAACCATAACCCTAACCCTAACCCTAACCCTAACCCTAACCCTAACCCTAACCCTAACCCTAACCCTAACCCGATCAATTGACCCTAACCCGGCCCTAACCCTAACCCTAACCCTAACCCTAACCCTAACCCTAACCCTAACCCTAACCCTAACCCTAACCCTAACCCTAACCCTAACCCTAACCCTAACCCTAACCCTAACCCTAACCCTAACCCTAACCCTAACCCTAACCCTCACTCTAATTCTAACCCTAACCCTAACCCTAACCCTAACCCTAACCCTAACCCTAACCCTAACCCTAACCCTAATCCTAACCCTAACCCTAACCCTAACCCTGATCTTGACCCTAACCCTAACCCTAACCCTAACCCTAACCCGATCAATTAAACCCAGTGTAATTGTACATGGGGGTCATTTGTCATGGGGTCAATTGTCGGGGGTCAATTGTCGGGGGGGGGGGGGGGTCAATTGCCGTACTAAGCCCTAGATTTCGCGACAATTGACCCCAGTGTAATAACATAGGGGGTCAATTGTCGGGTGTCAATTGTCAGGGAGTTAATTGTCGGGGGTCAATTTTTGTACTAAACCCTAAACAATTGACCCCGGTGTAATTACATAGGGGGTCAATTGTCGGGGGTCAATAAGTCAATTGTCGGGGGGGGGGGGTCAATTGTCGGGGGTCAATTGTCGGGGGTCAATTGTCGGGGGGTCAATTGTCGCGGTACCGCCGGTCGAGCATGTTGTCACTGGATGAATTCAACTATTGGTCACGACTAACCCCTGTCATAAACAGGTTTTACTGCTGCGATATTTGCCGGAGAGAGAAAAATATTATGTGACCAGCAATGTCTCCATGTCAGCAAACCTAAAAAGGTTGAACTCAGATGTTCCTGATTACCTCACTGACCGGCCGATCCTGTTCCAGAAGCGGTGGAAAGAGGAGAAATGTTTGGATAGCAAGTACAAAGAGAAGTTGAAAGAAGAAAAAGGTAAAAATTTAGTAAAATTTTACAAATAGTTTTGTTTTAATCGACCCTGTATCTGATGCAGTAATAAATAAAAATTCTCTCAAAAAATGTCTTACCTTATCCTTCCATAAGATGACAACACCATACGCAACATCTTTGTATCCAGACTTTTCTTTGTACTATGTCCACTGGACATAGTACATAATGTCCAGTTGAGTAGAAATTGCACAATGAACAATCTTATCTGAAGGCTATTAGACATTAGACAGTTAGGACGCTGACCAGAAGAAGAAAAACTCAAGTTCTCAAGATCTTTCATGTGAGATTGAAACAATATGTACTATTTTACAGGGCTGACAACAACGAGAAAAATCCTGCGAAATGATGGGTCAGTGTTCATGATCAGTAGTGGCTTCGAAGACATCTACCACAAAATTGATGTTAGCGTGCCCTGTTGTAGCTGTAGAAGCTTTTATGCTACCCGGCTACCTTGCCGGCACTTCTTCTTCCTTTTAGAGGAAGGCAGTATAAAATGGAAGGACCTGCCGACCGGCTACCAGAACCTGCCCTATTTTAACAAGGACATGGAAGTTGGTAAGTGTTAAAGTGTATCAATATCTCCACCAAAATTTCGATCGACAGTTTGAACTATATTTTAAAAATCTTGAATGTTTATAGAAAGGCTGACCATAACCTATATGGTCCACAGCAGGACAGCATAAGGATGCTTTGCCTGCCACTGGGGTGTGGCAACCCTGTAAAGGGTTGCCGGAGACATCTATGTGTAGAAGATGGAGGAAATTGGCGGTTGAATTGAGGCGTGGTGTTATAAGTTAGTGAAAAATTGTTAGCAGACATTGGGGGTTCTGTTTATAGTTGTTACTATAGGTTGCAGTCTTGCTGTGACAAAAAGTCTACACTAAAACATGCTTTAGTTTATATTGTGTAATTCAATGATATAAAATGCAGCTTCAAGGTGGATATTGGAGAGCTTACGAAAGATTGTGGTATTTTTATCAATGATGGCTGAATATGTGATAAAACGCAATTTCCCTCGGGCAAGGTGATAATTTGACTTTGAGTCGATATTTGACTTGGTAGATCAAAAGATGTTAAACGCATAAAATCGGGTGTTCAATAAATGGTCTGTAAAAACTGTAAATTGGGAAGATTGCTATAAACACGAATAATAAGTAAGGGTTATAACTTCAATCAAGCTCCACATAATATACAGAAGGCTTACATTTATTAAATATCTGATATTCTATCAACTCTCCAACTAGTAAGTCTTCACCTATTTCTAATAGTACTATAAAACGTATTTGGAATCTGTTGGACACTTGTCCCACAAAGGGCAAATTACTAGAAGACCAATCACAAAATCTTTGCACGAATCGAAATTTCCGTATTTGAAATTCTCAATCAATAGATAATTTGGGGCCATGTTAACAACGGGGTAATTTTTTGGTGTCAATTCATGTCGGAATAGTCAAAACTTCAAAGGGAACGATTTCCAGCTCCATAAAAAGCCGATTATTTGGCATAATGTCCAAATATGGGCATACAGGCCTTTGAATGTACAATTTTCATCTATAAACATTCATCAATTATATAGAGTAATTTTTGTGGTTTTTATGTGCAACGATTATAGATAAAATTGCAGGAGCGGTCTTTCCTCTAGAGTGCTATTAATGTTGTCAGTGGTAATGATATAGCCAGTCCCACTTCCTGAGTCTTTGCTTGACCCATCTGTGTAACAAGTAATCGTCTCGGTATTCAAATTCAGTGTTGTTTGCACTAGGAGTTGTTATGTTAAGTGCCATTCCAGAATCAATCATGGTTGGTATTGATAGATCTCTCGGCTTTCCATCCCAGGTGAACATGGCTATTTGAGTTTTACACTGTTTCTCTATCGTGTTGATAGTTTTGCATATTCTGTCCCAGATGATATATAAATCATTTCCTTTCGTAGAGGGCCCACATCATCTGCAAATACCTGCAGGTAACTTGGTTATCTTTCATAGCTGTACAAGCAAGGAGATTATCGACTACCAGGTTCCATAGGAATGAGGGAGTATGCCTCCTTGGGAGCACTGCCTCCTGATCCGAACCCGAATTATCCTTATGATTTATAGTTACGGTAGTTAGTAGCTAATCACTAATCAACTAATTACTATAAAAAGGTGTTCCCCGACAAAAATGAGAATAAATTAAATCCGGCAATATTTTAATGAATCATATTTTCTGAAAGAATTGTCAAGTTATTACTTATACTTATGTATCTTTTTCAGGAATAACTGCACAGAATTCAGCAGATGTTTTCGAAATAAATCTTCCAAACGATCATGACCTGCCAAAGGATGACCTGCCCATCGAGTTTGACGTTGAAAACACAGGACTGGACAATTCTGTCGAGCCAGCCCCCTTACCCCAACATGAGATTTTGGCCCTAAGATTGCTTGCTATGAGCAAACAGATTTCAATGAATCTGGTCCCTGAGTTACGCGAGTCAGGAGGCTCTAAATCAGAAGCTGAGCTGTCTAAGTGCACATCAATCATTAATTCGATGCTCGCAAGCGTTGGGGTAATTGTCTATAATTTGCACATTGTAACTGTAAGGTTTTCTATAATTGAGCAATCAGTTGTCAATGACTAGACAATATCACGTACTTAAAGTTTTATAAAGGTCAATTGAAATCTTTTAAAACACAGTGCAGTATGCATTTGAAATACAAATTTCAAGACTTTGACCGAAGTGAACATATTGTCCTCTCCTAATATCGTTTGGATTCTACAATCTACATAGAATTATAAAATCTAGATAGCTCATAGCTTATGCTAATAATCTTCATTGTCGAATTATTCTTTAATTATTTGTGTCTTTTTAAAGCTAAATGGGAGTTTGATGCTGGAATTTTGAGATTTTCGAGAGCAGCCCTTACTTTTGCAAATTGAATGATATGTAAAATCGTTTCAGGAGATGACTGCAAATCAACTGAGAACGAAAGAAGCCAATTAAGAACAACATCAGAAGAACCGACGACCAAGAACCGAACCGAGTCAAGACTGCGTTTCTGGAACTTTTCCGACGAACATCCCACACGTTTATTTATTCTAAATTGTCACGTGATCAAGAAAAATTGGTTACCTGAACTTTGTTACCTTGTTCAAGACTTCTTAAAAGCTGGCAGAATTCCCAGCACTTTTAAGACTAATAAGGCGGAGACGGGAGAGTGCTCCCAGTGATATGAAACTGTCAGCCAGCCTGTTACCACCGGTTAAATTATGGTGTTTGAATATGAACATGTGTAGTTGCTAAATGCTACCGACCAAGGGAAAAATTTGATCTTAATGAATAAAAAAGTACCACGTATTAATATTCTTTATAAGTACAGAAATTTTTATAATACTTTTTTATACGTTTACTACGTTTTTACCACTTTTATACGTTTATTACGTTTTTAGCAATTTTTATATGCATTTAAGGTTCAATTCATATTTTTGACTCTTAAGTAAAAACTTTTAAAGCTTTTAGAAGTTTAGGTTTCACAGAACTGTGTGCATTTAACTATTATAAACGTACAAGCAGTCGTTCACATATTTTGGAAACTCCCTCCCCTCGGATGATTACGTAATATGTAAACGACTTCTAGCATAAAGTCTAAGTAAAGAGTTTGACTTTCTGTACCAAATTGTACCAACATGCTTTACTATAAACGTACGGCGCGAGAACATATCCTTGTCCAAAGTCTGACAGCCAACAACATGCGTAGCATTCCCTCAAGAGGGAATAACGTAATCGCCACCCAATTTAAACGCTAAATTGTAAATTAAACTTAGTAAAACGACAATGGGGGTCACGACGTGATTCAATTTTTTAGTATGCAGTATGCCTTATATTACTAAATATTTATTTTTACATAATATCTTCATTTTATTTATTAAACATAACAATTGATGCGTGGAGTGGCTGGAGTACGCGTGTTTACAGATTAATGAATTGTTGCATCATGCATTGTACATATTTAAAGATGACGATATATTAATCATATATGATTTAATAGTAAATTTTACAATGCTGGCTTTAGACTTAGGTAAAATTATTATTTATTTATTTAAAAAAAAACCACGGATAGTTTTAAATTTACGTTGTCGTATAACTATAAACAAGTTAATCCTGTTTTCAAGAATGCGCGGCTTTGGCGGCCAGTTATTGACTTATACATAAAATTGAATTTTAAATAGAAATGTGAATTTATTAAAATTTAAAACTTTCAAAACGGAGGCTTATCAATATTATTATATTATGATTGTAAAGTAAATTATAAAATTTTAAATTTGTTTCACTAAATAATTTGTTTCACTTTATTGCATGGTATTTTTTCTTTTATTAATCTAAAGTGTAACGTCTATTTTCCTTTACTAAAAATCTTGACACACGCTGTAACCCCTTTTGATCGCAAAAGGCCGGCCGCAAACGGCAAGGCCGGTTTTTCTCGCGTGCACGAGGGAGGTATACACAATACAACATGTAGCAACAAAATCCTTGTTGGAATAATTCATTGACCGCGGTGTTTAGAAATGAGCGCCGCGCAAAAATTATAAAATATCATTTAACAAGAATTTCGCCGCGGTTAAACCACGCACGATCAATTTTCCCTACCATGTACTTGTACCATTAATTCTTTTGAGTGTAAAGTGTGACTGGAAAAAAGTGCACCATATTTACATACTAAAACTATGTTTTTTTATAAATGAGTGGGATTCGTGCATGGTAAAAATTGACGATTTATTTGACCGATGCAGCGCCGCGCATCAACAATAATTATAAATGAATCCAGAAAATTGCGGAAAATAACTTTGCGAAGGAGGAATTTCACTGTAATTAATTAACACACGGCTAGCGTCGCGCGCAGCATAACAGACGCTTCCTATACACTTAATTATAAGGGAGTGGTCTATATTTCGAAGGAGCAGACTTTTGTCATCATCGCAGGTCCATCGGGCCACCTCATACAGGGTGGCCCATAAGTGACTACCCACACGCAACCTCTTAATAACTCACGTAAATCGTCTCCAAATTGCACCAAAATTTTAGAGATTATAGATATGGGTCAAACTTAGATTTCCTGAAAGTTTCGTAAGCCACGCCCAATTACAGTGGGCGTGGCGTGACACTCCCTCTTTTTCACTATTGTCTTCATAAAATGAGAACGCTTTAAGCTAAGAACTCAAAATTTTTTGCACACATTTGGCTTGATAATTGAAAACCTTTCCCAAAGTTTCAAGTTCATTGGTTAAAATATGGCTAAGTTATGACCATTTCAAAACTCATCGGATACGTGATCCGAGCACTCAGTCAGTGATCTCGTCACTTGGTTAATGGCCTGTTTGGCTCACATGCACCGCTTGATTGGTTGCAGCCTGCTTATGGGCCGGCCTATACAGCTGACAGCACCTAAAACGCTATCACACGAATTTATGGTGGTGTCACCATTTCAGGGCTTGTTAGCCCTGCTAGTCACAGGTTCCTTACAATCAATAAAAAGGAATGAACCATCCATTGAATCATCGAAAATGGTTCACTATCCTCCCTTTACTGCAGAACGACGATTGTTCGTCTACTTGAAGAAAGAAAATGGGGAGTTCTACCCTCAGATTAAACGACAATTTCAGATGAAATTCAACCGACCACCCCCTTGCCGGAAAAGCTGCTTTGACATTCATCACAAGATCAAGTTTACGTTTTCTGCACACGATCGGCGAAGAGTCGGCAGAAGACGAACTGCGAGGACTGTAGAAAACATCATGATGGTTGTTGGTGACGTGATGGACACACCTAAGATTGGCACCCGGAAACGAGCTCCTGCCTTAGACATCAGCAGAACAACCCTTCAGCGAATCCTAAAGCAAGACCTTTCTAACCATGCCTACCGAATCACAAAGAAACACAAACTTTTGGACCGTGATTTCCAATCGAGGATAGATTTCGCCAACACATTCCTGTCCAAGCAGAATGTGGATCCCTACTTTGAGGACGAAATCTGGTACAGCGACAAGGCCATATAAACGGATATGTCAACTCCCAGAATGCAATTCACTGGGGCTCTACTAGACCGGATGAAGTGGTGGAGAGAACGGCTTTTCCTGAAAAGTCACGATCTGGTTTTTATCCTAAAAATTTGTGTTTCCCTTTCTAGCAAAGTCATCATCGGTATCCAATCAAAGCCTAATGAACCTCATTAATACACGCTAACGCCTTACTCTTGATCAGATTGGGTGACGAGATCACTAATTGAGTGCAAACATCACTGACTGAGTGCTCGGATCACATATCCGATGGATTTTAAAATGGTCATAACTCAGCCATATTTAAACCAATGAACTTGAAACTTTTGGAAAAGTTTTCAATTATCAAGCCAAATGTGTGCAAAAAATTTTGAGTTCTTAGCTTAAAGCGTTCTCATTTTATGAAGACGATAGTGAAAAAGAGGGAGTGTCACGCCACGCCCACTGTAATTGGGCGTGGCTTACGAAACTTTCAGGAAATCTAAGTTTGACCCATATCTATAATCTCTAAAATTTTGGTGCAATTTGGAGACGATTTACGTGAGTTATTAAGAGGTTGCGTGTGGGTAGTCACTTATGGGCCACCCTGTATATCCAAACCCGATTACTTATTCCCTACGATCTTTTTGCCTTCGGCAAGAGTAGGGAAAAAAATCGAGCGTTCTGATCTACTTTAGCAATATAAACTACTACCATACCATCCACCCAGCTTGTACAAATGTAGGTTTGGTTTGACAGCTTTTTTGTTTTCTAGTATTTCCTCTTTAATACCGGTGTTCTGTTGTCTTTGTCAGTTTGTTGTCTTTGTCAGTTTGTTCTAGCAACAAAAAATCAGCGAGGAATCCAGGAAGAAGAGTTTCTGCCGACTAATGCTTCTTGGGAAAGTTAAACAAGCCACCAAATTTGTTGACAGTCCCAATGACACCTTAGGAGTTCACAGCCTAACAGCAAACATTAAACAGGTCCTTGGGGAGAAACACCCTCCAGCTGTTAAAGCAGATCCAGTTGTTCTGCACCCTCACAGTACTCCTCCACCTCAGGAAGTGATATTTGAGAGGATTGACGCAGAGACTGTCAAGAGGGCTTGTTTATATTTGGATGGATCAGGCGGCCCAACACTAACGGACTCAGATTTGTGGAAGCATATCATCTGCAGCAAATCATTTGGCAAAGCATCAGGGACACTTGCTGAGTCTATAGCAATAGTTGCAAGGCGCCTTTGTAGAGAAGATATCCATCATAGCTGTCTGAAAGAGTTCACTGCATGCAGATTAATCCCTCTTGATAAAGGCCAGGATAAGAACGGGAAACCTGGTGTAAGACCAATTGGAATCGGCGAGATATTGCGCAGAATCATTGGAAAAGCAGTTATAATGTCTTTCAAAACTGATATACAATATATGCTGCTGGCCCACTGCAGACCTGTGCAGGGCTCAAATCAGGAATAGAGGCTTCCATTCATGCAATGAGACAGATCTGGGAAGACAGTGACACTGAAGCAATACTACAGGTTGACGCTGATAATGCGTTCAATCGTCTTAATAGAGAAGCAGCCCTTCACAATGTTCATGAGATCTGTCCTCCGCTCTATCAGTATCTAAAGAACCACTACCAAAAGCCAGCAGACCTGATCATTAATACTACCGAGGACCACTACCAACTAAAGTCTGAGGAAGGTTCAACTCAGGGAGATGTAGCAGCAATGGCATTCTATGCGTTAGGGATCAAGCCTCTAGTAGATGACCTAGCCACAGCCTCCAAGCCCAGTTTTTGCAAACAGTCTTGGTATGCAGACGACAGTAGTGCTGGTGGAAAGATTGAAGGTATTAAGATATGGTGGGATACGCTGTTGGAGCAAGGACCAAAGTATGGATATTACCCAAAAGCCAGTAAGACCGTCCTGATTGTGAAGAATAGCAAGGACCTAGATCTTGCGCAGAAAGTATTCTCAGGCACTGGTATTAAAATTGAGTCTGAAGGAGAACGCCATTTGGGTGCAGCAATTGGCAGCGAAGCTTTTAAGAACAAATATGTCTCAGATAAAGTCCATATTTGGTGTCAGGACATCAAGCTGTTGTCATCAATTGCTGTTGAGGAGCCCCAAGCTGCTTTGACTGCATATACTAAGGGAATTTGTCACCGGTGGACGTTCATTCAGAGGACCATCCCGGGTATAAGTCACTTGTTTCAACCGTTGGAGGATTGCATCAGAACAGATTTTATTCCAGCAATCTTGGGTAAGAACGTATCAGACTTGGACCGCTCCATATTTGCATTGCCAGTCAGACATGGTGGCCTAGGTATCTCCAACCCAGTTGAAAACTGCAATAGAGAATTCACAGCCTCAGTCACCATCACAAAAGACCTCACAGACCTGATTATCAACCAGCAAAACACCCTTGAACATTACAACATGTCAATTCAAAATGACACTATAAAGAGTCTCAAGGCAATCAAGGAGAAACACTTATTTACGGTTAGCAAATCAATAGAGGACAGTGTAAGAGATCCCAACCTAAAGAGATCTCTCCAGTTCATCAAAGAGAAAGGTTCAGGATGTTGGCTTACTGCACTTCCATTGAAGAGATTTGGCTACTCCCTGAACAAGATTGAGTTCCGTGATGCTCTGTACTTGCGTTATGGTTGGGAGATCCCTAACACCCCATTTCACTGTGCTTGTGGAGAGATAAATAATGTGAATCACACATATGCAAGGAAGGTGGCTATGTTTCTATGAGACACAACAACATCCGCGATCTAAATGCAGAGCTGCAGCGTGAAGTATGCAGAGATGTAGTGACTGAGCCAGCATTGATACCCCTTGATAATGAAGAAATTGTTGGTACCAATGATGATAGAGCTGCACCTGATGTATCCTCACGAGGTCTCTGGAGCACATTTGAACGAACATTCTTTGATGTCTGTGTTACCCATCCCAACTCACCCACATGACATATGACAAAAAAGGTATGGAACAGATCTATAAAGCTCATGAAATGAGGAAAATGAAAAAGTACAACAACAGAATCATCCAGGTGGAAAAAGGCACCTTTACCCCACTTATATACTCAACAAATGGTGGATGGGGTCCACAAGCCACAAGATACCACAAGAGACTCGCTGAAAAACTATCCCAGAAAAGAGGAGAAGACTATGCGGCTATTATGTGTTACATGCGCACCAGGATTAGATTCTCAATCCTCAGGAGCACGGGTCCTGATAGCGGTCAGGGGTGAGAGAGGGAGACGGCAATCGTATACATTGCCAGTCAGTGTAACTTCGTTTAACTTGATACCTGCCACCATGGACTATGAATGTTTCTAGACACTATCCTTTTGATATTGAGATATTGGTATCTCAGATCACGTGTACATCGTTCCTTTTTTATGACACAGTAATTTATTGACACTCACAGCTATAATTTTAATCATTGAATCAGTATTTTTATCTGTGCTCTGCGTAATGCATCACATGAATCAGTTTTTAATCTATTAACTTATTACACATTTGTGCTCTGCTTTAGCATCACTTGACTATTTAATAAAATTGTTTGTTCAGGCCATGACCTTATAGTCAGCCAATTGGCCATTGCTATATTATGTGTTTGTTCTAGGTATAAAATATGTCAAACCATGTAAGGAATCTCCGTCCGATACAATTTATCGAACATTCGTGTACATAATATTTTAACTTTGTGTGTTAAACATCCTCTAAAATATAATTCAATCAATTAAAAGTAGAAAATGTCAAACAGTATATATACAATAAAGTAATTCAAGTGTTGCAATCGGCAGAGCACAATACAGAGGTACCGGAAATTGTCCACTGCTACCAATATAATTATATAATATGAAATATCAACAATCAGATATATACACATCTACTCCATCATAGGGGCAGGGATGAGGTTACAAGAGACTTCTGATAGTGATGTCTCATATTTGCTGTCCATTTGCTGTCCTCTGTACCCTCGTAGAGCTATGAGTGTGGTTCTTAACATAGCGAATCTTATTATTGTCCTTACATGTCTTACCACATCGCAATACTGCGATGAGGTCTGCCACTCTATTTAGAAACCGCTTACATTCTTTGGACATGCCTCCAGTTGTGAGAAATACGGCTGGGGTGAAAGTGGCCTTCTCTACGTTCAACACTCTCTCCAAGTACCCATCCTTCTTCTCCTTTTCGTTCTCTTTGTATACTTCTTGAAGAGTTTTGGTCCTGTTTGATAAGCAATTGGGGTGTGAAACCCTTATGTCAAGAAAGGTCTTATCAAATGGAGTCCAAACTCCTCTAGCAGATACGTCGAGCCGAGCTTGGTCACCTGTTATAGTCTTGGGGTTGAGGCAGTCACCCTCATTTACCTTCTGTAGCTGGGGTTCGACTTTCACATCATGACATACCTCACGAAGGAGATTTTCTAATGTGTCTCTGATGTTGTTGTGGGTCATCAATTAAAATGAATAAACATTAAAATGGTAAAATTAGAGTTCTGCATCCGCCACTGTTGGCTGCAGAGCTGGACTTATGCTTCTTTACGAATTTAGCTTTTTGCTAAATTTGGCCGTTAAACCCATAAGGAATACATATTTAGATTGCTTAATGAAAGTGAGTCGTCGAAAAATTGTATTTTAGTTTTTATTTCTTTATTTATCTTATTTTGCATATTTACTGCTTGTCTATATTTTAGATTTGACACAAACCAGTGCAGCTTGGGGGAGTCCCAGTCAGAGCTCGACCGTTTTTGTCCCGGTTTTTGTCCCGGTCCCGGCCGGAATTACCGTTTTGGCCGGGATATTAGCTGGATATTTAGCTTCAAATTCATATTTTATTACTTTGACAAATGAAACGACTGTTAAGAATCGAAATGAAAATCGAAACCCTATCATGAATGAACTTGTAGTTAGTACTTATTAGATTGGTCAATGGACCCTTAATACAAAGGTTGTTTAAAATGTTCCATTTCAACATAGAAATATCGTGAAAATCCCGGTCCCGCCGGGACAAAATTCCGATCACAGTCTACCCATGCTCCCAGCCCCCTTTTTCGGTGGTGTACGCTTTGCTAACAAGAGCCACTTTGGTCTAGACTTGCTGCAAGGTGTATCTGTTGTATGGGTTGGGTGTCCCTTCATTTGTCCTGTGGCATTTTTGTGCAACATGCAACAATGCAATGTGCATGCAGATATTTTTGGATTACCCAGTGTGTCGGTATTTAAAGAATAATCCTGGCACTAAGGAAAACAAAATTTTACGGGGATCTTATCAAAACTTTCAAATGATAAGCAGTTTTTGTTGCTAAGAAACGTTTCATAAACTTATATAGTAGTGGAAAGTATGTTAAGTAGATTTTTACTGGGTCTTTGAACCTAGAATTTTAGTTTAAGTTCTATATTTTTGTAGAAATATTTATGATGACGTGTGATGATGTTTGTGTAATTATTATTTGATTTGATTTGATTTGGCAGATTATGGAGTGGGTTTGTTCGGAATGAGCAGACCTGGTCTGAATCTGGTGTCAAACAGTAGATGTTGTAAGAGTGGTACTCTACTCATAATAAAAATCTCCACAGTTCTTTTCTTCCAGAGGGAGTTCGACCATACTATAAAAAACTCCCTCTGGATGTCAAAATCTCTGAGACAGCTGTAAGTTTTAAAGGTCAATTAGAAGAAAGAGTAAGAGAAAGAGAAAGAAAAAGAGAAAGAGAAAGAGATGACTTCTAAAAGTTATCTAAATGCTTGTTATTTTTGGAATGTTTCGAATGAAGCACTAAGGAGAATTGATGGAACCAATTAAGCAAATCATGATGAATATCTTAGGCTCAATCACCAAGTTTCTAAAAAAAACGTTTTATAAACGTTTTATAGTTGTGGAAAGCATAATATTAATTACTTAGATTTTTACTGGGTCTTTGAACCTAGCAACTTATTTAAATTTGTAGAAACATTTATGATGACGTTACGTGTGATGACTTTTGTGTCATTATTGTTTGATAAGATTTGCAGAGCTCGACCGGGATACCGGCCGGTATTTGGCGATTTTGTACCGGTACCGGTACCGGCCGGGATTTTGGTTTTAGCCGGGATTTTAGCCAGTATTTTTCCAAAATAAATTCCGTTTTTTAAACGTAAATTTGAGTCCAAAATTCGCAAATCTGTAAACATTTTCCTAAAACATTTTGATGAAATCATTGAACAATGGAGACTGGAGTCAATCTAGATTTAAAATAATCATGGGTTTCATGACCTCGATTTTAGATTTTCGTTTACGAGTAATGGACTTCTTTCTGACTTTAATGCTAGAAATATGACTTATGACTTAATTATCGTGAGTGAGAGTTCTGTGTCAGTTTTGACGTATATATAAACATATTTCAGTTTGTCCTTTAAGGTTTTATTTAATATTTTTTCATTCTAACGGAGTAACGGAGAAATATTGGAAAAATCCCGGTACCGGCCGGTATGACGCTGATCCCGGTACTGGCCGGGTTTTCATTTTCATCCCGGTACCGGTCCCGGCCGGGATGGAGGTAATCCCAGCCCGGTACCGGCCGGGACAAAATTTCGATCCCGGTCGACCACTGAAGATTTGACTGTATTTTGGTAAAATAACACAACTTACTGTAATCTCGAATTCCGTCGGATAAAGACACTAATCATTTACATTGCAGTCAAGGACCACAAAGTATGTCACGAATGGATGTCCGAGACTACGATAATGAATACTCTGCACAACAAGGTAAGAATAATGTTGAATAAATTAACATAACTTAATTACATCATCTTGCCAGCTTACTTAAGTAGTAATACTTTCAACACTACTATATAACAAATAATTTGAGGTATGACCAACATGACAAAAATGTAATGTAATTGGAGGTATCAAATCTATTCAATCAACTTCAATCAACTTCAATCGACTTCAATCGACTTCAATCGACTTCAATCAATCTATTTATCTACAACCGACTCAACATCATGAACGATTCATTGGAAACATTTTTCGGTAAATTATTGATGGAATGTGATCAAAAATGTACAAACTGTTCAGATCTTGAAACTCGTGTGAAGTTTCTGGAGCGTAAAGTGTTCATTTTAGAGGAGATTGTTCAGACCTCACAAACAATAGCAGAGATTAATGAAACTATTTCGCCACAGAGTGGAAACCAATCAATTGCTCAATTCAAGTGTTTCGATGTGTCAGTGCAAACGGACTCCAGCAACAGTAACATTCAGTATGACAAGGAATGTGAGGTACCAGAATCATTTTTGTTAATTGATGATAATGGCTATGTAGAAGCACCTCCATCAATTATTTCTAACAACATAGACATTTCAACCAGCGAGATTACAGACACTGGCTCAGTAAATCCAAGAAGCGGTGAATATTATGCAGGATTAGATTTAACACCTGTGTCAAGTTCGGACCTAGGTACAGACTATGAAATCCCTGATATCGCCACCACACCTGTTGACCTTATTGAACAGGCACCATTCAGCAAATTTTCTATCGAGATCTTATTTGAGGAATTAAAGTTCAGCCACCACTTCCATAACAGGAAATCAGTCTACTTTGGGGAACATTCTTATATGTACAGTGGAGGAATTCATGACCCAAAAAAGATCCCCCAGGGATCTTACATGGCAAGTTTATGTTCATATCTAGATGAGCTATTCCCAGAATACAACTACAACAGTGTTCTGGTCAATCTCTACGAATCTGGAGAGGAACATATGCCTGCTCATAGTGACAATGAAGAATTTATTGAAGAAAATTCGTACATTGTAACAGTGTCCCTTGGTGCTTCCAGGATGATGCAGCTGACAGAAATCAAAACAGGACAAGTGGTGACTTCCCTAATTTTAGAACATGGAGATGTATGTATTATGTCCAAAAAGTCCCAACATCAATTCAACCATGAAATATGTCCCGATCCATCATGCACAGACAAAAGGATCAGTTTAACTTTTAGACTCATCAAACCAGTTGTCTGCAGTAAGGTTTTTTTTTTACATATTTGATAGATTTACAGATCTGGCTTGACAAAAATTTTCAGAAAAAATCATGTTCGCGGGAAGCAAAAATCCGATGAGTTTTTTAGGGGGGAGGGGTAGGGGGTTGAGGGGGGTTTGGAAGGGTTGTCACATGACGAGAAATTTTTTGCAAAAATTAAACAATCTTTATTTGTTGATATTATTCACCCCTGTTGCCTAGAGTGGTGGGTCTGCACTTGAGAAGAGTGGGTCTGGCCGCTAGAATGGTGGGTCTGCAATCTAGAAGTGGGTCTGGCAACCAGAATGGTGGGTCTGCAATCTAGAAGTGGGTCTGGCAACCAGAATGATGGGTCTGTACCCTTAAAGAGTGGTCTGACAACCAGAGTGGTGGGTGTGCACTTGAGAATAGTGGATCTGGCAGCTAGAATGGTGGGTATGCAATCTAGAAGTGGGTCTGTTAACCAGAATTGTGGGTCTACACCCTTGAAGAGTGGGTCTGACAACCAGAATGGTGGGTCTGCACTTGAGAAGAGTGGTTCTTGCGGCTGGAATGGTGGGTCTGCAATCTAGAAGTTGGTCTAGCAACCAGAATTGTGGATCTGCATTCGAGAATAATGAGTCTTCACTCTAGAAGAGTGGGTCTGACAACCAGAATGGTGGGTCTGCACTTGAGAAGAGTGGGTCTGGCGGCTGGAATGGTGGGTCTGCAATCTAGAAGTTGGTCTAGCAACAGAATTGTGGATCTGCATTCGAGAATAATGAGTCTTCACTCTAGAAGAGTGGGTCCGGCAACCAGAGTGGTGGGTCTGCACTTGAGAAGCGTGGGTCTGGCCGCTAAATGGTGAGTCTGCACCCTTTAAGAGTGGGTCTGACAACCAGAGTGGTGGGTCTGGACTTGAGAAGAGTGGGTCTGGCAGCTGGAATGGTGGGTCTGCAATCTAGAAGTTGGTCTGGCAACCAGAATGGTGGGTGTACGTACACCCTTGAAGAGTGGGTCTGACAACCCGAGTGGTGGGTCTGGACTTGAGAAGAGTGGGTCTGGCAGCTGGAATGGTGGGTCTGCAATCTAGAAGTGGGTCCGGCAACCAGAATGGTGGGTGTAAGTACACCCTTGAAGAGTGGGTCTGACAACCAGAGTGGTGGGTCTGCACCCTTGAAGAGTGGGTCTGACAACCAGGGTGGTGGGTCTACACTTGAGAAGAGTTGGTCTGGCAGCTAGAATGGTGGGTCTGCGATCTAAAAGTGGGTCTTGCAACCAGAATGGTGGGTTTGCATTCTTGAAGAGTGGGTCTGACAACCAGAGTGGTGGGTCTGCACTTGAGAAGAGTGGGTCTGGCAGCTAGAATGGTGGGTCTGCAATCTAGAAGTGGGTCTGGCAGTTAGAATGGTGGATCTCCAATCTAGACGTGGGTCTGGCAACATGAATGGTGGGTCTGCACCCTTCAGGCTTAAAGAGTGGGTCTGACAACCAGAGTGGTAGATCTGCACTTGAGAAGTGTGGGTCTGGCAGCTGGAATGGTGGGTCTGCAATCTAGAAGTTGGTCTGGCAACCAGAATGGTGGGTCTGCACTTGAGAAGAGTGGGTCTGTCAGCTGGAATGGTGGGTCTGCAATCTATAAGTGAGTCTGGCAGCTAGAATAGTGGGTCTGAAATCTAGAAGTGGGTCTTGCAACATGAATGTGGGTCTGCACCCTTGAAGAGTGGGTCTGGCAATCAGAATGGTACGTCTACACTCTAGAAGAGTGGGTCTGGCAACCAGAATGGTGGATTTTCGCTCTAGAAGGGTGAGTCTGGAAACCAGAAAGGTGGGTCTACAATCTGGAATAGTGGGTCTGGCAACCAGAATTGCGGGTCTGCATTCTAGAATAGTGGATCTTCACTCTAGAAGAGTGGGCCTGGCAACCAGAATGGTAAGTCTACACTCTGTCAACCAGATTTGGGGGTCTATAAACTAGAATATAGGAGATATGGCTACCAGAATTGTGGGTTTGGACAACCCGAATGGTGGGTCTTCACTCTAGAATAATAGGTCTGGTGGGTCTACACTTTAGAAGAGTGGGTCTGCACCTTAGGGTAGTGGGTCTGGAAACAAGAATGGTGGGTCAGAATTCTTGAATAGTGGGTCTTCACTCTAGCTAAGAGTGGGTCTGGCAACAAGAATGGTGGGTAAAAATTCTAGAATAGTGGGTCTTCACTCTAGAAGAGTGGGTCTGGCAACCAGAATGGTAAGTCTACACTCTGTCAAGTGTCAACCAGAATTGGGGGTCTAAACTAGAATATAGGATATATGGCAACCAGAATTGTGCGTCTGGAGTCTAGAGTCTAGAATAGTGGGTCCGGCAACCCGAAAGGTGGGTCTTCACTCAAGAATAGTGGGTCTGGCAATCGGAATGGTGCGTCTACACTCTAGAAGAGTGGGGCTGGCAACCAGAATGGTAGGTCTTTGCGTTAGAAGAGTGGGTCGGGCAACCAGAATGGTGGGTCTGCATTTTAGAATAGTAGGTCTTGACTCTATACCTACTAGAAGAGTGGGTCTCCTCTCTAGAAGAGTGAATCTGGCAACCAGAATGGTAATTCTTCACTCTGTCAACCAGAATTGGGGGTCTATGAACTAGAATATAGGAGATATGACAACCAGAATTGTGGGTCTGGACTCTAGAATAGTGGGTCTGGCAACCAAAATGTTGAGTCTGCACTCTAATAGAGTGGGTCTGGCAACTAGAATGCAGACACGTAGCCAAGGGGAAGACCCCCGGAATAAAATTAAACCCCAAATAAGCCCCCTAGTCCCCATGGTCGCCTGGTAAGTGGGCTGTGTTTATGACTGTTTGATTAAACGACACGACAGGCAATCGACTTTAGCATTTCGTAAATTATTCCCAAATCCCACTATACAATATGTACTTATTCCATTCAATGTGACAAGTACTGAGTTCCCCCCTAGCCCCCAACTTTGTATTATTGTGATGTCTGAAATTACAAATTTCTAATGCCAAATGTCGTCTGAAACACCCTATTTCTCAAAAATTTTCCGGGGGCTGCACCCCCAACTTTGTATTATCGCCGTCCTACAAATTTCTTTAATGCCTAATGTCGTCTAAAACAAATAATTTCTAAAAATTTTCTTGGGGGCTGCGCCCCCCCCCCCAGTCCCCCAACTTTATATTATTGTGATGTCTGATTATTACTGCGCCCCCCAGCCCACCAACCTTGTATTATTGTAATGTCTGATTATTGCTGTCCCACAAATGTCGTCTGGAACACCCTATTTCTCAAAAAGTTTCCAAAGGCCAGGGCTGCGCCTGCCTAGCCCTCCAACTTTGTATTATTGTGATGTCTGATTATAATTACTGTCCTACAAATTTCTTTAATGTCAAATGTCGTCTAAAACACATAATTTCTCAAAAAATTTCTGATTGGCTGCGCCCCCCCCTCCCTAGCCAACCAACTTTATATTATTGTGATGTCTGATTATTACTGCCCTACTAATTTCTTTAATGCCTAATGTCGTCTGAATCACCCTATTTCTCAAAAACTTTCCGGGGGGTGCGCCCCCCTAGCCTCCCAACTTTGTATTATTGTGATGTCTGATTATTACTGTCCTACAAATTTCTTTAATGCCTAATGTCGTCTGAATCACCCTATTTCTCAAAAATTTTCCGGGGGGTGCGCCCCCCTAGCCTCCCAACTTTGTATTATTGTGATGTCTGATTATTACTGTCCTACAAATTTCTTTAATGCCAA